AGAGGAACAGCCGGTGGGCTTGAGAATGTCGCAGCCGGCGGGCTTGACTTTGGAGTGACCGGCGGAGGAGTTCCGGATCGGGATCAGAGGCTCTCCAGACACTGGATGACCGCCTCCTTCCAGTCAAGGTTGGTGGTGTCTGGGAGTTCCGCGGGGTGATGGTATGTAATCCCAGAACCGGAACAGCGTCACCAGGGTCTCCCCATCGAGGGAGCTGGTGAGGGCGAGCGGCACGAATGCCCACGCAAAGGTGATCGGGTCGTGGCTCGCCTGAGCCACAGCGATGAACATCGCTCGTTCCTCCATTTTAGCGGGGCGAAACAAACAGGAAAACAAAGCCCTTTTCAAAAACAAAAAACAAACACGGGGACAAGGGGCGCCGCTTCGGAATTCTGTCACTTTGTGCTACTGTGAGGAGCACGGAGACGAAGGAGCGAGGAGACGAGGAGTGGAATTCAAACATATAGATTTTAATAACATCCAGGGAACAAGGAAAACACACGTAGCAAGGGTAGACATATACAATTCTGGACGAAGGAGAACAGAACGGGCTAGAACTCAAATAGGGCAGATAACAAGGGGCAGACAGGTGAGGAGGATAACTAATAACAAGGAACACCTGGAACTAATAGAACTAAATGGGAACAGGAACAGGAAGAAACAAATAAGGGCAAGGAAGGCACATGGGGAGCAAAACACACACAAAACAAGGAACAGAGTCTGACAGACATCTTGCTTGGCCTGTTTGGTATTTATTTATATTACTACTCTGTCATAAGAGCAATTATTTTTAAGTGATACTTTCCACATAGACAATGACCAGAACTCACCTCTTTTTTGACTAAAATGTTTAAAAAAATTTTTTACTAAAATGATCTATCTATGTGATCTGTCTAAAGATTGTACTTGTAAAAATGAAACTTATTGTAGCATATAAAACCATAAAGGTTACCTCTGTAAACCCTCAAGACTGTCAGCAAGTCCTCCTCACCCCTACCCCCAATATTAACGCATAATAAATTGATGGAATTCAAACATATAGATTTTAATAACATCCAGGGAACAAGGAAAACACACGTAGCAAGGGTAGACATATACAATTCTGGACGAAGGAGAACAGAACGGGCTAGAACTCAAATAGGGCAGATAACAAGGGGCAGACAGGTGAGGAGGATAACTAATAACAAGGAACACCTGGAACTAATAGAACTAAATGGGAACAGGAACAGGAAGAAACAAATAAGGGCAAGGAAGGCACATGGGGAGCAAAACACACACAAAACAAGGAACAGAGTCTGACAGACATCTTGCTTGGCCTGTTTGGTATTTATTTATATTACTACTCTGTCATAAGAGCAATTATTTTTAAGTGATACTTTCCACATAGACAATGACCAGAACTCACCTCTTTTTTGACTAAAATGTTTAAAAAAATTTTTTACTAAAATGATCTATCTATGTGATCTGTCTAAAGATTGTACTTGTAAAAATGAAACTTATTGTAGCATATAAAACCATAAAGGTTACCTCTGTAAACCCTCAAGACTGTCAGCAAGTCCTCCTCACCCCTACCCCCAATATTAACGCATAATAAATTGATGTATTTTTTTTTTTTAATTCAAATGTTTGTTAGATTTTAGATGGAATAACTGATGGAAGAAGAAACTTCTAGATGGAAGAAAACTTCATGATGTTCATGATTCAATAATATAGATATATTATTTATACTACTGTTAAAATATTTTGGGTCGATAAGATTTAAAACTGTTTTTGTCTCTTATTGTTATTTTTTCCCCCAAAAAAAATGAAGAACAGCAATTTTGTGAAATATTATTACAATTTAAAATAACAGTTTTCTATTTTAATATATTGTAAAACGTATGTGACAACAAAGCTGAATTTTCAGCATCATTACTCCAGACTTCAGTGTCACATGATCCTTCAGAAATCATTCTAACATGCTGATTTGCTGCTCAGGAAACATACTATCAATGTTGAAAGCAGCGCTGCTTAATATTTTTGTGAAATCCGTGATTCAGGATTCTTTGCTGAATCAAAAGAAACAGAAATATTTTGTAATATTATAAATGTCACTGTCAATGATGTGTCCTGGCTGAATAAAAGTATTAATTTCTTTCAGAAAACGGTAGTATATACTTAATTAAAAAATGTTATCATAAGAATTATACTTATTTAATAGTTCATTACTCGCTTGATTTGCAACAATTTACATACAATGATTTGCACCTAGTAACACTCAAGTATTAAATATGTAAGAACTAGCCTACATTGTGTTGCTTTTGCTTGACATTTTGAAATATTCATATTAATGAAATAATTATAATACATTTAGAACTTTGAACGTGTGTTTTAATGTCTCTTTTACTTTCATAATTTGTCAGTGACCCAGATACTATAATGATCTATTATGTGTTTAAGTGTTTTTTTAGAGATGCACGCACGTTAAGAACTACAACTCGCAAGATAAAAACTCAATTTGCATACATTTCCATTAGAATCCAATCAGTCAGTTTGACCTCGCTTTCTGCTCCTTCAGATACAGGTTAAGAATCAGCTTTACCTGAGATACTCCTGCAGGCAGGTGTCGCAGAATCTGTGTCCGCAGGTGGACACCTGCACGGGGTCCCGCATGGGCTTTACACACAGAGGACAATAAAAGCTCCTCCTCGGTCTCTCCAGAAACTTTAAATTTAAACCAGGCATAATGCCTTTGTAGATATCAACTTCAGGCTGTCAACTGATAAACTGCTGGAATAAAACTTAATAAATAAACGTAATGCAAAGATGTAGAACCCTATTAATAGCTCATTTATCGATCCAACACTAAACAACAATCGATCTCTCATGACATTTCCGTCTTCAGTAGAGTACAGCACAGGGAAATGTTTACTCATTCACAGGAGCGAGAGGAGGAGCCAGCAGCAGCAGCCTCCTCGACACCTGCACAACTAACATTGCAGCATGGGCAGTGCTATTTTACTATCACTGAGATTTGATTCAGTTTTCATTCATATTTAAAATTCGTTTTTATTTTTATATTTTCTGTTTTTTTTTTTTGAGTAATTTTTTATTTGTTGGCATTATTTTTTTTATTTGTATTGACTATATCTTTATAGGCCCAGTTTTATTAAGTTTAATTTCAGTTATGTTTAGTGGGCCTTACATCAAGTACAAACTGAGAAATGTTGCCTTGGCAACTATTTTGAATTCTTTTTTTTATTTTGTCATTTTCCATTTCATTTTAATGTTAACGTTTTAGCCTTTTGAAAATAAATATTTAAATAAATAAAAAATTTGATAAATTATGTCTATATACAGTAGTTTTTATGATTTTTATTGCTGTTTTAGTTATTTTAGTATGTAAATGTAAACTAGAAATTTTGGCAACTAGCTGATTTTTTTTTTTTTTTACAAATGTATTTTATTTTAGTTAACGTTTATTTTAAAACCCCTTAACTGTCACTCACATTTTTGAACATAGACGTGAAAGTGCACGATCCAAACTTACATTTTTATAATTCATGAAGGAAAACATTTTGTAACATGATATTGATGTACACTCTAAAAAATGCTGGGTTGTTTCAACCCAACTTTGGGTTTTGAGGCGCACTCTTGTCAAAAATTAATCTATTACTTTTCCTACATAATTTTTAACAAAAACATTGGTAAAATATCTATTTAGGAGTCTTAGACCTTTCCAACGATATATAGTTTGTCATGATTAGATTAGGATTTAATTGTAATATAGTGAAGTAAACTTAGGCGTCCCACAGAGTGGACGGGTGACAAGTTAAAGGGTTTGAAGTAACAAACATGTTTTTTTATGGTTTTAGTTTTAATTACCAATAATAACCCTGAATATGTAGTCACAATTGAATTTGAATTGAAACAGTTTTCTGATGTTATGCTTAAAATCAATGACAGCAAGACAGTGATGAATAATATGTATTTAGTGTCTCTTTCCTCCTCCCCCCATCCACCTGCTTTACAGTGTTAGCATAGCACCCTCTGCGTTACTGTTGGAATTTGATACCACAACACCTCCCAATGACTCTCACAATTCAAAAGGTATGAACAACGTGCCTGAGATGTATTCATTTACCAAATTTGCTGTTGATTTGTTATATACATAGTTGAAAATACCCTTATAGCGGGTTATTTACATTACATCATAAGTGGCCTACTGATTCTTGTCTTACTAGAGTGTGTAAATATAGGCTAGACGTTTTAGACAGTTTCATCGAAGCAGGTTTCAAGCCGTAGAACCAGTTTTACTTCCTCGTTCCACAAAGGAATATTCAGGTTGACCTTAGACTCCTTGCGGGCCATTTCAGCCGTAAAAAGCACAGAGCTTGTTCAGTATAGTTTGCTGTTTGGTAGATGTGAAAGATGCATTGACGCTCAGTTATTGCGACTTTAAAAAACCCTTCTGTGATGAGTAACTGAAAAGGGCTTTTGTTTGCTTTTAAAAATGATTCATTTCAGTTAATCTGTCAGAAAAGCAGAACATTTAATTGGTGTCAACCAAGAGAAGGAGCACACGTGAGCTTTTGTGTACTTGTGTAGGAGGGCAACAAAGAGCCAGATAAAGAAAAGAATAATAAAACTCAAAGAGAAGCTTATAACAAACATGACAATCATTCTTCCACCTGCTACAGTCAGTGAGATGCTAGAGGCTACACAATTAAACCAGAAAACCCACATGCAGCTGTGTAAAAACAAGTTTATTGTTGCATTAAAAATTATTTCTGTATGTCATAAAAGTTTCTCTATATCTATGGAATTATTATAAGACATATACAGTATGTTAGGACTAATGGAAATGTGGAAACATGCATTGATCCTTCAGATATGCAACAGAAATTTCAGCATATAGAGTGAAATGTTGTCATGTATATTGTAGGAATATTATCAGAAACATACTACATATATGGTTTAGTTGGACTGCTTTCTTCACTGAATAGCTCACCAAATTTTAGTACTCACCCTCATGTTGTTGCAAACCTATATGACAATTCCTATTCACTTGCATTGCATGAAAAAAAAGCAGCGTAACTATTTTCAAAATTTCTTCATCTTGTTTCATAGGAAAAGGAAATACATACGGGGTGGGACAACACGAAGGTGAATAAACGATGACACAATTTTCATTTCTGAGTAAACTTCACATTAACCAATTCTTCATAAATCTGACTGAACCACATAACTGCAGCACAAACTTGTTAACACTTCACGAAACTCACATTTAGACTTGGGTTAGGAAATGTGCATTTCTTCAAAATGCTGGACTTCTTATTCAAAATAGCATATATTATAAGTTATGTGCATAAGAAAACAAAATCATTCTATTCTGAGAGGCCTTCATTTCCTTCATTAAAAAACATCCCAGACATGATGGACTCCTGACAAGGGTCTTTGAGCATCATAAAAAGAGTGTATTCTAAAAAAGCCCTGATTAAAGTGCTCCAGATATCACAATAATTAGTATTAAAATTGTATGTTAGTTTCAATGACCTAAAATGCAGCATTGTCATAATGATTGAAATGAATCATGGCCATGATAATAAAACTAAGGCAAAGGAGGGAAGCAGCACTTCAGTAGGAGTTAGCCGACCGTCTGACCAAGGCCTGTGTGTTCAGGGTGGAGGTACGATTTCTTCATATTATTCACATTCTTAGTCAGTGAAGTATCTCTGTAAAAAAAAAAAAAAAAAAAGAGTCTGTTAGGAAAGGCTCATATGAATGGCTACTATGATTTTTATTTCTGATTGGATGAGCACTTTTGTGATATTGAAATTAATTTTATTTGAGTTAAAACTATTGTCAATATTTTATTATTAAAAACGTTTTAATATAATAAAATATATATATGTACAATACAATATATTAATATAAAAATATTTTTAAATCATATATATA